GAAGGTGATAGAGGCATCTAATATCTGAGGCAAGATCAGTATCAGAGAGGAAAGGTTTTAATCTTCATGCCCATTGTTGGAAACAAATCCCATTTGTGGATACTGCTGCAACTTGATTTCCAAGAGCAGCCAAAGATTCAAAAGGACTCTTGTGTTGTACACCTTACTAACAAAAGATGGACAGCCCTATCTCTCTCTCTCTCTCAGTCCTGTGAATACTAATGCCACCATCGTATCTAGATGTTTCCCATAGCTATCACCATTCTTCCATCTTGTCTGGATTGAGCTTCAGACAGCTACCTATTATCCAGACCCCATTAATCAGACAGGGAAAGCTGAGAGACTGCACCATCTGGATCTGATAAGAGATGCACTGAGGTGATTGTTACCATCATATTGATGGCAATGGAACCCAAACTCCCTCACTGTCTCCTCCCACAGCCTTATAGATGCATTAAACAGGAAGGATGATGACACTCTCTCAGGACAGAACATCAAGTGCCCAACATTAGGATTTCAGAGAAAAAATGGAGCCACTTTACACCAAATTCAATCCCTGCCTAGAGCACAGCCATGTCAACACTTCACAATCAATGATATCAAATGTAAGCAATGGATCAAAAAGTTTTTCCAGCGTCAAGAAGTCAAATAAAATGTCCTGAGATGATTCCTTACCATATCCAGTCTAGATCCAATTAGAAAGGGATCTAGGAGATCTTAACACTCTAGATATTACTGTAATCTTAAAAACTGAATTTGCCTAATGGCCTTCACCAATGCAATAAAAAAAATACAGAACAAAAACCGAACATGGACTGAATATTTTTCAGATGTGTAAGTCCAAAACATTTTAATCTCCCAAATGGAACTAAAATCTCTCCCAAGTTGCAACTTGCAAAGATCAGCCCCTACATTTTCAAAGCAGAGCGACAGTTGTTAGCCACATGACTCTTTAAAGTCTAGGAGAGATCCCAATACATTGTTTTGAAATTTTACCCAAAAGACTCATGACTTCTCATTCATGTGTTCGGTTATGCATATATTTATGTTTTTTCATAACTGATGCATTTTAATATGCCCCCAACTTAATGAGACCAGACAAAATTTCAGCTTATTCTACTAGGTTTTGCTATTTGTTTGCATGTCAAAATTCTGGTGATATTATTTTGTTCTGTTTAACAGACTGGCAGTGGTTACCTGACACATCCCACAGTGTTAGCAGGGTTGATCCTGTTGGGAAAGGGTTCTGATGATTTACAGTAGAACCTCAGAGTTACGAACACCTCGGAAACAAAATGTTATGGTTGTTCTTTCAAACATACAGCTGAATACTAACTTACTGCAGCTTTGGAACTTCACTATGCAGAAGAAAAATGCTGCTCTCTTTTTTTTAGTAGTTTATGTTTAATACGGTTCAGTGCTGTATTAGCTTTTGAGAGGGGGTGGGCGGGCGGGGCATGTCTCTGCTGCTGCCTGATTGTGTACTTCCGGTTCCAAATGAGCTGTGTGGTTGATCAGTCAGTTCATAACTCTGGTGTTCTTAACTCTGAGGTTCTACTGTACTGAGGCAGGTGACTCATTACCACAACTGGATATTAGGGATGGGGAGTGACTCTCTGGAAAAAGGATCTAGTCTCTGGGCTGAGCAATCTTTAAAGAGGAGCCCCAGGAGTAGCCAAGCCTGGATGGAAGGTTTGGATTGGATTTTGTGTTGTTTCATTTTGAGTTTTGTTTTGGGTTTTGTTGTGGGGGGAAAACTCTAGGAAAAAGGGTAAGTTTTGAATCACTGCAATCATCTGTGTTTGGAGAAGGCAGGGAAGCCATCAGGCCACATTGCTATAGTCCAACATTTCAGTTGCTAAGGCCATCTGGAGAAGTCCCTAGTAAAGGAAAGTTCAAATATTAGAAATAAAATTGTTTGAGAAGGCTGCGCTTTCAGCAGGAGGGAATTCAGAGTTGCCATAGCAGCCGCCCACGTGCAAAAACAAAACAAAAAACAAAAAAACACACCGCAAAGGAGTTAGCCAAAAAAAGAAGCTATTGTTAACAAGCCACTCTTCTCAGATACTAGGTGACAGGGGCCATAGATGTTTGTCAATAGACCAAGATAGAAGACAGCACAAGTAGGGTTCCTGAGTTTAGGTTTAAACACATACACACTGATTCGTAAAAATCACACCGAACCTCCTTTGTTTACTCCACCTGCTCTTAGGGTGAAATCACTGAAATAGTTCCTTGCCTGTTTATATCCTAAAGTGTATTTAGTGCATAGCTGGCTGGAATGCAAAGGGAGCGAAACTGGGATGCTGCAACAATTCCCAAACAATACTTCTGGTAACAAACAGAAAGCAGAGGGAAGAGTTCAGCTCAGTACTCCAGTAATGCTAACGGCTCATGTCAGCCTGGCCATTACGTACATACCTGATGCACATAGCTGATTCCGTGCATCCTCTGACTACCCCTGCTAGCAAGGCTCTCATGGAGCCCCAGACACAAATTAACACTTCCTCCCTGATGGAACTCTATGGGAGGTCAGCTGACAAGAAGTGGGTACATATAAATATCAGGAACAGCCATCCCAAATCCCAGGACATTGCACTTCTTACCTTTACATGTACTAAACTGGACTTTCTAGCTTTAACAATGCGCACCACAAAGCTTTTATAAAATGAATGATGAAAGCAGGAAATATGAATTAAAAATTTAAAAGGACAAGTTTCTCCCTATGTTGTACCTTGTACTTATATTTGTGTTATGACTTAGGGGGTGAATTGCATCATGATCATTCAATGGATACATATGATCCACCACAAGATAATTCAGAGTTCAATTCATGTCACTGTTTTATAGCACTGTTGTATAATTAACTATACTGATATATATACAATGCAAAGACATATGTAGTCATGATACCCATGGGCTCCATTCATTTCTGAAACCAGAGAGAAAAGTGGAAAACATGAAATAAACCCCATTTATTTGGTTCTCTGACCTTGTCACCTGCATACTTGCACACTAACTGCACCAGAAATACTTCAAGCACTCCAACCTTGTTAATCAGTTTTCCCGCACAGCCACCAGTATCTTCTTAATAAACCCTACCATAAAAATGTTTTCTTCTTTCTCATATCAAATAAGAGTAGGAATTGAAAATGACACAGGTCTGAGGACCAGGACTTGTATTACTCAGGTCTGGACCACTGGGAGTTTGCAAACTGTCAGGGCTACAACAAAATGATCTATACAATTAGAAAGTTGGAAACATTAGTGATATGTGAAATAAAGCATTTATACTTTGCTCTGATGATTCACTAGATATTGGACCTTAAAATCCTGACATTTTTTTTTAAGGAAACTTAGTCTATAATTGTTTGGCTTTTAAAAAATATATTAGTACTATTTCTTTTTCTTTTGCTCTGCAGTGGCTGTAGCAGCTGGTTTTCTTTAGTTACCGTGACTCATGGTTACAGTTTTACAGATGGATAAGACAAATATAGAAGTAAGTTTAAATGAGTGAAATGATGCCTCAGGTATGTCCCCAAAGCAAGAGAGATTGCTGAACATGAGTGTTGCTCTTTCCTATAGTTGAGATGGATGTTTTATTGTTTGCGTCCCTAATTATTTGCAGATAACACTCTCGTTGTAAGGTTGATCAATGCTCCTAGAGTACTCAAGGAATTTTTTGTAAATGCTACATTTAGTGCTGGAAACACTAATTTATTGGCCCTAACACAGTTTCTAGAAGCACAAGAAGGTAGTCTAGGAACGATGTCTTAACGTGCGCTGGGGGTCAGTGGACATAAAGGGATGCCTGCCTGTAGGAATTCAGTTGACAAATATAAATTGTCAGCTCACTAAAGGTTTTCTAAATATAAATAAGTTTAAAAAATAAACATATCCAAAGACTACCCCATTTGAAGGCAATAGTTTATCTAACGATGAAATTATCTATTCAGCCCTGTGAGGACCACAGACCTATACATTGCCTTGGTGCTCAGATGTTATGAGCTTAGATTAGACCATGAGGCTCTAAATTGAGGCCCTGTAGGTGACTATATTCAGAAGAAAAATGTGGAGTTGGCTATGAATTGAAAATGTGCTCTGTGAGCTACACCCTATGCTTTTTAAACTGTAATGTTTGAATCAGCTCCATTGCTACTTTCTCCTCCACTACCTCCCACCACTTCTTCTACGGCCTCTGCAGCAGCTCTGGTGTGATCCAGGTCTACCCAGAGCAGCTCCTGTCCCTGCCCTGCAACAGATGCTCAGCAGTTCCCCTGCTGGCCACCAGCTGTGTCACAGGAGAGGGAGGAAACAGTAGTTCTGGCTATTTCATTCCCTGCTTCCCTGGCCAAGAGAGCAGGGTAAGGGCTCACCTGGCTTCTCCTGAACCCCAGCAGGGGATTTACAGATGCCTTCCCTTTGGCACAAAAAGAGCAGAACAGGACAGGAAATCTGCTCCAAAATATTGACTATGGCAGCTTTGTCTTTCTGAAAGATGTCTGGTCCTCAGGCTGGACACCACTAGATTAGATGCACACACAAAACTCCATAGTAACTCCACTGAATTCAATGGCATTACTCATGATTTACACTAACGTGAGTGCAGAATTTCACCCAGAGAGGTTCTCTCTTTGATCACTGTTCTATTCCATTACTTAAGGATGAACAGAACTGCCTTTTAAAAACAAACAAACCTGAAACATATTTTCCTTTTCATAAAACCAATTCCTCCTCAAAATTTTCCTACTTCTAGAGCCTATGAGAGTTGTATCCATGTAACCGACAGCAGAATTTGGCCTAAAGATTCAAATTTTCGAAGGAGCCTCATTACTTTCACACAATATTTCACATCTAAGTTTTAGTGGATGGAAAATCTCAGATATGTGACCTATTATTGATAATGATCTTAAATTCAAAAAGTAATAAAAATATCTCTGATTGCTAATATACAGTCTATGCTCAAAATACAATGAAATTACATGGTATGATGTACTTACAGTCAGATACGTAGCTGTATATACACTGAGAGCTGCTTCTTTGGATGGAAATGTTTTTCTGGCTCTCATAATAAGGTCTGGGTTTCCAGTGCAGGCATGTGCACCACTGATGAACTGTGTGAACTGTTGACATCCAAGTGCTGTATAGTTGGGTTTACAAAGTGCAAGAAAATGTGGTGCAAGATTCCCTGTTACTACTTGTCCAGCATTTACAAAGATATCTGTAGCAAACAGTCCAAATGCATAGATTCCTAAAGAGGAAAACAAAGTTAATTTCCTACTCCAGTACATTATATTGTAGCTCTATTATTTATTATTATATTAATAATACATAAGAACGGCCATATTGGGTCAGACCAATGGTCCATCTAGACCAGTATCCTGTCAGATGTTTCAAAGGGAATGAACAGAACAGGGTAATTATCAAGTGATTCATCCCATCATCCAGACCCAGCATCAGGAAGTCATAGATTTAGGGACACTCAGAGCATGGGGTTGCATCCCTGACCATCACATGTGTTATGTGAAGGGGAAAATAACACTTCCTTATTCACTTTTGCCACACCATTCATGATTTTATAGACCTCTAGCATATTCCACCCACACACACACAGAGTCACCTCTTTTCCAAGCTGAACGTTTCCAGTCTTTTTTAATCTCTCCTCACATGGAAGCTGTTCCATACCTTTAATAGGCCCTACCATTCAAGACAGCTCAAAGCACCTCACACATACTAAGGGTCAGAGGGTGGCATTAAGCTCCAGGCTTGTGCTGGAGATGGTCCATACCCACACAGCCTCACAGGGGCACTGGAAGGCACCCGAAACTCCCAGCACCTTGGAGAAGTTCCAAGCACCTTGGTGCAGTATGCTCTTTCCTTTTGAAGGCTGCCTGCTTCACTAGCTCTTACGGTTGAGAAGAGGATCCTAGCTCTACCTCCTTCTAACCTTTTGGGCTAACTAGTGGTACTGGCACCTAGAGCATGGGGACTGCAACTTGCCTGGCCCATGGGCAGCAGTGCAAGGGACAGTGGGCAGGCTCTTTCAGCTTTCCATCCAACACACCAGCTCAAGAACCAGGAAAGTCTGACATACTAGGCACCACACATTTTCCGACAAGCATCTCTTTTTCCCCTCAACTGTATAAACAGGCTGAAGTGATGAATTGTTTAATATAGTTGTACACAAGCCATCTTCAACTGTCTACCGCTGGGTACCTTTCTGTACATGGCATGTTTATCAAAACATCAGCATAGCATGGTAAAGATCTATATAGGAGAAATTTATGCCAAAGGATTTATCATGAAACACATATCAGTGAAGTATTAGCCTTTTGTGTGCATTGTTTTATTAGTGTGAAAATATATGTATCTGATTATTCAAAGGAAAGGCAGATTTGCTACTATTTGATGTGCATGTCATGTTTCTTACCATTCCTGCTGGGACCAGTAGCTAGCCCTGGAGGGAAGGACAATCTAGTGATTAGAACACTAGCCTAAGACTTGGCAGAATCTGGCCCAGACAGAGATTTCCGAGGCAAGTCATCTAAGCCTCTCTGTGTCCCAGTTCCCCATGCACAAATGGGGACAATATTACTTCCTTATCTGGCAGAGTGTTGTGACAATAAATGTATTAACAACTGTGAGCCACCTGGATACTACGAAGGAGAGGGCGGCAGAAGTACCTATGCTGCTAATGACCACTTTTCTTTTAGGTTTCAGAGTAGCACTCTTCTTTTAGACATCTCAGAAAAGCTTAGAAGAACCAGAATTATTTTTGAGGTGGCTTCGTACCTCTTAACTTCAGAGACAGTAAGTGGCGATGGTTACTGTTCCATACCAATGATCATTCATTTTGGATGGCTAGAAATCATTAAAAGGTGGATTGTGCCTCTGTGGGTTTGCATGGAAGGACTCCCTCAGTCCCCCAGGGGCACGCTGCCCCCAGATAGGTGGGAAGGTGACGAGAATGCATGGCTTTGGCCCCACCCCCTCACTGGCCTTAAAGAACAGTAAAATTTACTCCTTCCTACTCTCCCTGATTGCTCTTTGCTTCTGTGCACTCGAGGGCTCATTGAATGAGCAGGAGTGCAGGCACAAATTATACATGTCCCTACATAAAGAAACCAAGTAGGGGTAGCTTCCTTTGCACCATCCCTTCCCATCCCCATAGATCCATGCAAAGCCCCGGCACAGTCTGGTCCTTAATGATTTCTACAAGCCCAATATTATTGCTAGTACAAACCCGCTAACCAGCTGGAATGACCGGCTCTGATGTAAGATAGCGATGCCACAGAAACTTTCAGGCTGTAAAGAATGGCACAGCTGTGCCCTCCCTTTACACATTAGGGCAATAAGGGAGGGATTATGCAACCCTGAGGCTTCACCTCCTGCTCAGGGCTGAGTCTTACAGACCCAACTGAGCCCTGCTATGGCATCTCCATATTTATTCAAAGGTTCCAAAAAGTGACATTTGGAAACTATTTTATGGATATTTTAAGTGGTATTTTTTTCCCCAATGAAAGATTACACTGCACTGAACAGCAGCAGTGAGATCCTGACCCTACTGAAGTCAATGGGAGTTTTGTTATTGACTTCAGTGAAGCCAGAGTTTCACCCTAGGGGTATAAAACTGTAATTCAGGCTTTGACTCAGTGAAGTAACTAAGCATGTGCTTAGCTTTAAGCACATGATTAAGTCCCACTGACTTCAAATTGAGCATGTGTACATGCTTTGCTGCCAGCCAAGGCGAAGGTCCTAGGAGCTGAGATACCTCTGTACTCCCTGTCTGCAGTGGGCCTGGTCAGGCAATCTACCCTGCTGCAAGTCCGCTGACCATGTCTCTACCCCTCACTTGGCCTGCACCCAGTGCTGAATTTGTAATGAAAGAGGCCTGGGGCTCAAGCATTTAGGTTCCAGGGCTCAAGTAATTTTTTTACATTCATAACTGATGCAGCAAGCCCAGAAGTGCTGGGGCTATGAACTGTCAAGCCGAGAGGTGCCAGGGCTCAGCCCTGGCAAGCCCTGGCATAAATTAAGCACTGCCTGCACCCAATTCTTGCTATCTGTGCTGCTAATAGTAACAACTGCTCACCCAAAACTCCCACTGGCTGCCCAAAAGAGCATTGCTAAATCTACAGAGGAGTGCATACATGGGGAAGAAACCCATTACATGTGTTGTTAGGATTATATGTGAAGCATTTGATGTTACATAAAATTTTTCCTCATTTGAAATCTTATGATGACTATTTGCGTTCATTAAACCATAAAAACATTAACTTAGCCCATACCAAGGAATCGGATGGTTCTGCGCACCAGTGGATTTATATAACAACAGTCTCCAGTTAATATGGTTTTTTCTTGGTTTTCAAAATCCCTTGTAGCTAGCTGTAGACAAAACACTGCAGTTTCTCCAATGATTATCTAAGGAGGGAAACAAAAGGGGAAGACATGGTACATCAGAGTTCAGCAAGCATAAATACGAATGATGTAGAGATGATTGTTTCTTTGGTTTGGGGGAGGGTTACAATAGGACAATACAAAAACAGAAACCCACATAAGTGACTCAAGTCCTGCACAGTTAATCTACTTGTGAAGGAAATATGCCATATAGCTTGTTTTAATTTATTTGCATAAAAATAGAGGTTAACTTTTCATAACAGAGACTTGGCACTTATACCCAGAACCCAGTTTTCAGGAAAAAAAAATTGTTAGTCAAGAGCCATGAACTACATAATATCTGAAATATGCGTAAAAACATCAGGAGTGAAGGGCTGATGCCATGAGGTGCTGAACACTCAAATCCTATTGATTTCAATGGGCACTCAGCACCCCACAAGACTGGGCCCTAAATCATTTGATCACAGAGGAAACACTCACTCTAAAGCTTCTGTTCACATCAGGAATTGTTTGGCCACAGTAGTTATTTAAGTCTTACTGCCTATTTTGCTAAGCGAGTTTGTCAACAAAATGTAATTGCTGATATCTGAACACTCACTGGGTCCTGTTTCACACTTTACAGTCTGTACACGAAAGTGAATTTATATTTGAAATGCTTTTAGATCACACACTTTTCAGCTCTGTCAGTAAAAACTGAAACATTCAGAAACACTAACAAATGCCAAGTTGAAATTTAAAATAACCTTCATAAAGTGTACATCATTTTACTGTATGGCTATACACTGCTCTTGATTTGCATGTGTATATACAACTGAAGTTTGGTATACAGAGAACTGAAGTTTTATACCATGTACAGTATTGTGGGGGTAAGGATGGTCTAGTGAATGAAGCATAGGGTTGAGATACTGTAGACCAGTCTGCCAGGGCTCAGTTCACTATGTGATCTTAGGCAAACCATTTGACCTGTTTGCCCTCAGTTAACCCAGCTACATTAAGGGGATATCAATACTTATACCCATTTACACAGCACTTTGAGAACTTTGGATGAAAAGCAGTATACTGAGTGCCTTGCTATTAAATTCTGGAAACACAGCAACCCTTATTCAAAAACAATTTTGTATTATGGCCCAAATTTTTAGAAATCTTCACATAGGAAATAATCTTTTTTAAAATTATTCACAAAAGCATCACACCAGGGTATAAAGAAAACTGCAGGCAAATGCAATGACTGAGTTGAAGCCACAAACTAAATGCCACATTATCTGACTCAGTTATTATTTAGATTCCCTCAGAAAACTTTTGGCTAGAATAGATTGTGACATGGACCACTTACCCACACAGGGTAAGAAATGGCCTGTTTGTAATACTGTAGTCTAAATAACAAACAAACAAACAAACAAACAACTCAGGAAGGCTACATGATTGGAATGGAGTGCAAAATTTGGTCAAATACACTGAACTTTGATTCTCTCTCATTGTAGAATCATAAGCCAGTCCAACTGCATACCTTTTAGATTAAACACAGCAAATCCAGTACACAAGCTACCAAACTTCCTTCCTCTCCATTTTGATCTGATCCAAATTTTCTGCATCTGGGAAGTAAATTCCTTTCTATACTCCTTTTATCAAGTTCTGATTAAGAAACAGTGAAGCCCACGTGTGAAGTTTAACTCAACCTTGAAATCTAAGTTCATCAAAACAATGGCAATGATAAGAACTCAGCTTAACTCCTACAGCTTTCATGAAAAAAGCTTTAAATAAGTGGATGTGATGGCTGAAACCTCTTAAGATCTGTTATGTGCTTCACAGGTTTCACCCCACCCCCATGGAGAATAGAATAATCTAGGATTTAATATTAGACAGTTTGAACATATTGTACCAGGTTCTTCCCTCCGTTGTACCTGTGCCAATCCAAAGAGCATCAGTGGAATTACTCCAAATTTCCACATTGTAACTAAGAGCAGTATCTGGCCCTTAGTATGAATTCCTTACATGTGCATGCCATGAGAAAGAATGCAGAACCTTCTGCTACTGCTTACAATGTCAAAGTTGCTTAGCATCTCTGAATCTGCTAATCCATGGGAGGCATAAATATGGGTTCCCCTTCTTGGTTTACAGGAAAACTGGGGCTTCTCAATGGGACAAACAGGCTTTCCAAGTATCTCATGTTTCTATGTGGGACAGGCGCCCTTGTCCATCACTTGCCAGCTTGCCTCTATTGGTTGTATCTGAGCCCTGACAAGCAGCAGTGATGGTTCTCCTGTTGCACCTCCTAACTCTGTTGGTAGGCCAGACAAAGACAAGTACTACCCATGGCATATTATGCAACAGTGAAATAAGTTATTCTGGTACTTGATGTGCCGTTTCGGGGGTCAGAATGTTTAACACTCTGCTGTAAGCAGAGCTGTTGTTGTGCAAGGCCCTGCTCTGTGCCCTCAGATATAACGTACAATGAGTGGAATAAGTCACTGTGCACAACAGGCAACCAACCATGTGTGTTCCTCCAAGGCCTGATGCTGATGGATTTCTCCCAGAGTTTGGTGACAGAGCTCTGCTGGCAGCTCAGATAAGCTGTTCTTCCCTCCCTGCAGCCTTCTACATGGGCACGATTCTGCCCAGAATTCAGCCTCTAGTTGCTGCTAGAAGGTAATTCTCCTCTCAGATTCTCACAGCAGATCCTGGGCCAGATTCTGTTCCCCACTGCATCTTAGTACTGCACACATCCCTCGCCCCTACCATCTCCATGTGGGTAGCATCTCTACAGGGAAGGGGGCAAAGGGCCCATGACCTCACCACCTTCCTGCCTCTTTGGTGTGATTTGAATGCCCAGTACAGACTAAGAAGGAGCAATCACTGCAATCCCCGTAGTACAGAGGCTGCTACAGTGCCTAGCTTTGCATGGAAAAGATGTGTAATGGGAGGGTACGACAGAAGATTATCCCAAGTATATTGAATTAAATGTGATTATCTGTGTACTTTTTTCCCCCCAATAACTCCCCAAACAAAATTATTTTCCCTGATATTGTCCAAAGCCCAAAATGAAAAATTATGTTAAATAAATTAGTAATCCTGCTGTCCATGGGCCATGGTAGCATTGATACACTTATAGGGATACAAACATACTGAGAGTGATGAAAAAAATGACAGAGAAGATAGTAGCAGTATTCATTAGGTTGTTTTGTCTGAGACATGCTTGTTAGCTGGGACCACTAAAGGGAAGAGCACATTCAAGAATTCAGAGGTCAAGGATGGATTCTATAATTATTATAGTTATTGAAGAATGAATCCCAGATTTAGAAGAGACTGTTGAGATAGAATTATAATGTATAAGGTATCAGAAAAACAAGATGTGAATTTTCCAAACATAAGAAATTGTACACTAAATAAAATATTCACCATATATACATCTTTAAAAACCTTTAAGTGAAAATGCGGTTTACCTGGCTGTCTTAGTAGGGTTAGCAGGAGAAGGATGGTGCAAGTGATTAAGGGAACTAGCCTAGAATTTAGGAGACCTATGTTTAAGTCTCTTCTCTGCCGCAGCCTTCCTGTATGATCTTGGGCAAGTCACCCAGACTCTGTGCCTCAGTTTCCTATCTGTAAAACTACTTCTTCAACGCTTAGCCAGACAGTCGGCCATAGTGATTGTTCACCCTTTGGTCCATTACTGAGCAACTGCAAAGGCTTGACGGCCTGAAAATCCAACATTAGAACAGACCTGATGAACCCATGTAATAGTGGATCTGCCTCTGGACTCCCTTCACCCCTCAGTTGGTGGAATTTTATCCCAGATGTTACAAGCCACCCAGAGAACGGCATTTGCTGGAATGTCTTGTGGCATCCTTGTGACATGTCCAAAAACGTAAGGCGCCGCCTGTGGACAACAGCCCCAGTAATCTGTAGATCAGAACGACCATAAACTTCTGCATTACAGATGAAGTCATTCTACTTTATGCCCAGTATATGACATTGACATTTTGTATGGAAAGCCTCCAGCTTTGTCCAGTCTGTGTGGCGTACTGTTCATGTTTCGCAGCCGTATAACAGTATGGGAAGGATACAGCTCAAATAAATCCTGAACTTGGTTGTCATACTAAGATGATGTTGATTCCATATCGGTTGTAAATGGCTCATGGAAGATGCTGTGATGCAAATCCGCGGGGGGAACCTCTATGTGAAAACTGGAGGAGTTGGTAAGTATAGAACCCAGATAGCAAATGCTGGAAACTGATTCAACGGTTTCGTTGTTTAAAGAGATTGGAATCACAGGTGGACCTAGTCCTAGATTTTGCAGAATTTTCTTTGACCATGAAACATGGAGACCAATCTTATCTGATTCCTCCTCCATATGCTGGAGTGCCTCACAAAACCTGTTGGGGCTCTGTACTAAGAGAACAACGTCATCAGCGTAGTCAAGGTCTGTGAGCGAGAGATCACCAATCTCAATGCCGATGGACATGAAGGAATGCTGCATTATGAAATCTATTGCCTGACAAAAGAGTGCAGGGGCCAAGATGCAGCCCTGCCTGACACCAGGTACTGATTTAAAAGGTGCTGACATCTGGTTCCTCAGACGAACACGGGCAGTGGTTCCATTATGCAGCTCTCTAATCAAGTCCAGCACAGTGGTAGGGACACCTACACCCTTTAAGGTCTTCCATAACGCGACACGGTCTGCTGAATCAAATGCAGCCTTAAGATCAAGATACATCGCGAGTTCAGGAAGCCCCTGTAGGTAGTGTATCTCCAACAACAAGCAAAAGGCCAAAATGGCATCTAATATGGACCTGTTCCTTGTCAAGCCTGACTGTTGGGGATGATGTTTCTGATGTAGCAAAGGCTCCAGGCATGCCAGCAGAACATGTACAAACACCTTCCCTGGAACTGAGAGCAAGGTGATCGGTCCGTAGCTCTTATATTCACTCTGTGGTCCTTTGTCTTTATAGAGTGAGATTACAATACTGTCCTTCCAGGCGATTGGCAGGGTTCCAGTTCTCCACATCAGACAAAAGATGGCCAGAAGT